TAGGTTTCTTCGTGACAAAGAGATCATCCACTACATTAAAGTGATTTGGATAAAAAGGATAAATAGGAGATTAACTGATTCTGATAACTTATTAAAAAAACATTTTAATTAATAGAGTCTGTCTTTGGATAGTTCTTATGTTAGCACAAGATAAGAGGTGGATCCGGTATTTAGTTGTCTGTGAAATTAAAAATTTTGTAAGCAAACACTCAATAACATATTTGGTGGATAATAATATTTGATTTAATGTTGGTCTTGGATTATGTTATTTTGATTTTCTAGACGAATAAGATGAATGGATAATATCACCATCAAATGCCTCTAACTAGAAGAAAGATGAGAAGTAAGGTTAAGAGACAATTGATGGTTCGACCTCTATTTCTACACACACACACACACACACACACACACACACATATATATATATATATATATATATATATATATATATATATATATGGTGAGAGTCAAATCCCTCGTATTGATGAAACTTCAAAAGTCACAATTGTTACTGAAACTATTTGGAATGACGAAGATCTTTTTGTCTCAAGAAAAGATGCTTGTCATTGTTTTGGAAGAGTTATGAAACTACTAGGCAATGAAAAAGTTATGGTTGAATTGACCTCACTATTCATAGGTGAAGGTTTCTCATATGGAGCATCTCTGATTGATCTACGCTCTCTTTAGATTGGTCGCTAATAGATGGTTATATATGGTGCAAAGTGCAAACTATCGTGAATGTGCATGACTTGATCATTAATGAGTCAATTTGGGAATTGGTGTGAGGAAAACGAGTTGTTCAAATAACACTTATTCTTTTCATATTAGAGATGTCTTAGTTGAAATTGTTCAAATAATACTTACTCTGATTGTTACGACAAACTCATGAGCTCTGATTTGGAAGAACTTCTAAACAAAATTAAATGGTTCAAAGGCAACTTAAAAAGATTTCCTGTGTTAAGATAAACTCATGAGGTCTAATTCGAAAGAAATTGTAAACAAATTAAATGGTCAAAAGCATCTTAAAAGATCTCTTGTGTCCAATGTTGTGGACAGTTCATGAGTGTTTGCATGTACTGTGCGTCTTTCATACCTAAATGATTTCTTGATAAAGAATCATACAAGACGAAGAAACTAAAAAATGTATGACATTTTAATAATTAAGATGGATGCATTATGTTACTTAAAAATGGTTTTTTAGCAGAAAATGAGTGATTATAGATGATCGACCAAGTTTCAGAAAGCTACGAATGGAAACTTAGTTCTGATTATAAATGAATATATTTTTACATCAACTATTTCATTCCCTAGTTTTCCTAATTTTCTCTTTTTGTGTTTTAATTAGATTCTATCTGTATTTTTTGGTCATATTGAGCTTCGACATTTTCTTTTTGTTTAATAGGTATTTCGTGCATTGCATAGGCACAAAAGTAACATACTTATTATATAGATATCTCCTTCATCTATTTTAAATATAAAAGTCATGTTTAATCTTCTTTTATATTAAGGTCTCCATCACCTTTTCCTATCTCATCTATTGTTTACATTTTTTCTTCTTTTTTCATGCCTTGTTGTTGCTTGCTTTTTTTTTTTTTTTGTTAAATTCTTGAAAAGGACATTTTGTAATTTTGTGGTTGCTTGCTCTCACAATAGAGAAATATGATCACCAACTTTTTGAAATTGGGGAATTGGTTGAGGCAACATTCTTTGTGAAGGTTACATAGTACAAGGTTCGAATTGCAAGATAGCAAAGATAAAGAGGAAAACTTGGCACGTTTAGTCTTATATTGCATTATCTTTATTTGCTAGACGAACATGATTAAATACTACATCAAACATCCCTAATTGGGAAGAAAGAGAAGAAGAAGGGTTAAGAGACAATCAATACTTCGGCTCCATGTATAAAGTGTCTCTGATTGATCAACTCCCATCTTAGATTGGTCGCTAAAAGATGGTTAGAAATTGTCCACTCTTATGGATGATGTATACTATTGTCAATGTGCATGACTTGTTCATTCAGTGAATCAATTTGGTGATAGGTTGGCACTAGAAATGAGTATATAGTGTGAAGAAACAAGAGATGGTGAGGTTGCAGGTGGATTATATTTTGATGGATCTCATTCTTCTCATTTTGTTATAAAGCCATTACTACCTAAGGAAAAACGTTAATTTAATAGGGCAAGTGAGATGTTAATTGTTGAAATTGTTGAACTTTTTATTAGAGTAGACTTGTCTAATTCTAACTCTTCACATAAGAAGTTGAAAACTAGTGTTTCGACTCCTCTACTAGCCATGCAATCTGAAAATGCTATAAGCTGCAATACTGAATTTGAAGAATATAAACAAAGATTAAATGGCTCAAAAGCATCTTAAAAAGTAGATATATAGACCTCCTTTATCTGATACCATGGAAACTTCATGGATACTTGTCAAATGCCATATGCCTTCAGTGTTTGTTTTGACTTCTTGATAACCTATCATAGAAGACGAAGAAAATTGGAAGAAGTCTGATGTGTGGATGTTTTTCAAATATCATGCGCCTTCAGTGCCTAAATGACTTTGATAAGCTATCATAAAAGGTGAAAAAATTGGAAGATGTATGGCACTTTTATAATTAATGAGGTTGCATTTAGTTGTTTTGCTTCATATTTACAACCACTTGGACAAGTTGATTCCTAGTCCTAATTATGTACTATATAGTTTAGAGTGTGAGTTGTGTCAATTGAGAAAGTATCACTCTTCCTCTTTGCTTCTTTTTTTTTTTTTTTTTTTTTGGTCGATACATTTGTATAACCTATTCTATCCTAATCTAGGGAGATGGGGAGCCTAAGGAGGCTGTGGTAGGGGCTAGTGGGTATACAGACCCAACTAGACCAAAGGAGTGTTATGATACAATCCTTAAATTTTTTTCGCTGCAGGTGAAGTTTGAATCCTCACTTACAGACCAAGGAAGGCCCTGATGGCCACTGAGCCATTGGCCCAGTGGTTCTCTTTGCTTCTTGAATCTACAAGATAATGTTAGAGACAAATTCATTTGCTAGTATGTTAGAATTTATATACAACTAGCGTTCTAAATGACCAATGACAAAAAAAAAAAAAAAAAGATGTCAACCCATCCAACCACTTAGGTGATTGATTTTCTCCCCAACACTTAGGGAACTATATATACACCATTTTTTGTAGGTTTGATTTAAAAGAATTTGGGTATAAGTTAAGCAAATGACACCCATTAATGGGCTTTGTTGGTTAAATTTTAAAGAAGAGTAATGCTAGTTGGGTAAATTGCTATCATGTAACTTGCACAGGTAAAATGTTTTTTTTTTTCCAGTTTTGTAAAAATTGATTATGTTGACATTGAAGTTTTAGTTATAATAGCTTTTTCTTATATCATGAAGTCAAAAGATATTTGTTTGATGCCTTGACTTATAGGAAAGAGCATGATCTATAATTATGTACTATGTTTGTGATATTTCATTTTCTCATAAAAGGAAAATATCATAAAGTGTAATTCTATATTACATTTGTGATATACCATTTTCTTACAAAACAAAAAATATAAATTCTTTAACTTACTTAAATCGTTTTTCATAATAAACATTTGGTGATTATAAACGGTTGAACCTATTTTAGAATATTACAGAAAGAATACCTAGTTTGTACTCACATTATTTGATCAATATTCCATTCCTCTAGTTCCTAATTTTTATTCATATTTTTTATTATTTTTTGTGGTTTCATATTCTTTTTTTGAGTGGATCTATGTTTCAGTCTGTTTTGGTGATTTATTTTCTCCACAGATAGATCCTATATTTTTAATTCATTTATCTTTGTAGTAATCCTGCGCATTTTTAGCGTACTTAAATAAAAAAATTTTCAATCTATTTCAATTTTCAAAATCACGTCCGATATTATTTTATTACAATTAACCAATCCAATTACATTGTCAATTGATTTTCTGTCTAAACATATACTCCATTTTGCTTTTTTTTTTTTAAAATTTTTTTTTTGGTTTTTGGTTTAATCAAATGCAGGTACAACTAACCAATGACTCTTATATAGGGCCTAAAGATTAAATTTATAAGAATGGTGTTAAATTGGGAAAATAACTATAAAACTATGCCACAATAAATGTGAATTTGAACATTTAGATGATAAGTTCAGTAAAATAAACCAATTTCCCTTGACACCTACTAAAAAATCTTATTAAAGCTGTTATGATTTAAGAAAGTTTTATACTTGGCCACAAAACATCCTTATTTTCAGCATTATTTAATTCAATAAATAAAATGTAAACTTGCACACTGCACGGATAAAAAGCTAACCTTTTTTAAATAAAAATTGATATGCACATCTTTTAAAACAGTTTTTCATAATTAATCCGAGATGACTATGAATGACCGACTCTATTTCAAATAAGTACTTAAAAAAAACTTGGTTTTCACTTGCCTTTTCGGGCTGACTCATCCTTCATTAAAACCTAAACACACACAAAAAAAAAAACTCTTTGAATTATTGAAATTACAGGTGCAAATTTTCAATCTTGTTAATGAAAAAAAAAAAGTCTTAGATGTAAGAAATACTATGTGATATGTTGCTTACCTCCCTTCACATTTACTAGCACCATTTATTTAGAATCTCATGCTATATGCTAGCCATTGAAGGGAACCATAAAAGAAAAATTGAAAAAAAAAGAAATTGGAAGATGGATGAGGAGATAATATATGAAGTGGGCATAATATGAAACTTGTGGCCAAGAACAAAGACTAGAAATACACAATTTTCTATCTGTAAATTCTTTCTGCCTAGTGCAAATGAATGCAAATCCATGTCTATATTTCACCATATGTCAGCTTTTTTTCTTGGAAGCTTTTTATTTCACCATTTAGACAGCTTTTTATTTCACTATATTTAGACAGCTTTTTTGTTGAAGGTTTAGCATCATATGTTTTTATATAGCATTATACTACTGTTTATTGTTTTTGAGCACATGACAGAAAAATGTGAAAAAGCGGAGAGGTTTTTTCCTCAATATTTTGTTGGTTGTCAAAGGAAGACTGAGTAGTTGTTGAGTCCACAACAGCGTGGCGTGGAGAGATATATAAATACCTTTAGGCATTACCTCAGCTCTTCTCTGTCAATAAGCCCTCGTGTATTTCGCCAACCCCTTTCGTCCTTCCCCTTTCTCTGTCTCTCTGTTTCTTTCTTTGCTTTGAGGAAATCTCAAGAGAAGAAATGGGAGAGGAGAAGCCTAAGACGTCACCTCCCACCGGTGTATGGCCTACCGTTAAGCCGTTCGTCAATGGAGGTGCCTCTGGCATGCTTGCCACCTGTGTCATCCAGCCCATCGACATGATTAAGGTGTGCTACAGCTTCAATTTTCTGTTTTGGGTTATTTCTGTGCATTTCATTTTGCAAGCTTCTATTGTTTCTTTAAAGTTGGTATTTTTTTTTTTAAGATGTTGGATTTGCATTATTACTTCGGTTTTTTTCATGCGGGGTTCTGGGAATTTGCGAGTTTATGCAAAAGTTTTGATTTTTATTGGGGGTTTGAGTGGTATCTATAGGGGGTTTTAGATCTTGGATCAAATGGGCATATGTCGATTCGTGAAGTCATTTTTGTTTTTTGATGTTTAAGATTTAATTAAATTGTTAATGATCTCTTGAGATCTAAACGAGGGTCTGTTTAATGCTAGGATGAGAGGTGATAGGATTGGGGGTCTTATTTGGATATAAATTGAGATGGGTTCTCATAGAAAGCTAAAAATCCTTACTTTCTGAAATGAAAGAATGGTGTTTGATTTTGACCTTCCGGGAGGCTTTGAGCACTGGTGGGTTGATTTTTTTCCTTAATTGCTAACTTTTTTTGATAAGTGCAGGTGAGAATCCAGTTGGGCGAGGGATCAGCTGCTGAAGTTACTAAGAAAATGCTTAAGAATGAGGGTGTTGGTGCCTTTTATAAGGTTTGTGCCTATCTGCTGCCGAGTATTTTCAGTTTTGCAGCCATTTCGAATGATTGTTTGAAGTTGACTTGTAGAATTAACCATCTGAACTTAGATTTGACTTTCGCTATGTATGTGTGTCAGATTCACGTCACGCCAGTCGAGCTGTACTTTATCTGCTGTCTCTGATATTTCATGGAATTGTATGCTAGGGCATTGCCTTAATTCATTTGCATGTTGGAAGGTGCAAAAATGAAAATTAGGTGGTTATATTTATCTTCTGTCTCGAGCAATGCAGTTAAATCTGTGTGCAAATGAAAGTGGTTAATTTGAAGCCTTCTGACCTTCTCAGCAGGGTCAGTGTTTGTTGGACATTTTTTGACTAACGTTTTCTTCGTTTGGAATTGCACTCTCTTTAATCCTCAAATCCAGAAGTAGTACAATTATTCATTGAGAGGACTGTGAATAATTGTTTTATTAGGATTAGTTAAGAGATTTTAAATACATGCAGTCGCTTTCATTCTGTATGGAACTGTTGTTCCATTGTCCATAGGCACTATTGAGTAGGCTTACAGTCTCTCATATGTTATACAAGATTCATTTTGAGCTTTCATTTTTTTTTTGGTAAATATTTGGCTTGATCCTTGCTAATGATTCTTCCCCAAACTCTCTGTTTTGTCAGTTCAAAATGTGGCTGCTCTTTTTTTTTTCTGGACTGTTATGCATATCTTTTGTGCTTCCATCAAGGAACTTTTTTGGGAACTTATGCATCACTTATTCATGTCATCCTGAAATTCTGAGCAGGGTTTGAGTGCTGGGTTGCTTAGACAAGCCACATACACAACTGCCAGACTTGGATCTTTCAGGTGAGTATTGTTGTGAAGAGGGATCATTTTATCTTTGATGAATGATAAACCAATTGTTTTTGGATTCTTTTTAAAGACCAAACTTGGTCAATGTCGATTTTATTCTTATTATGTTGCGTGTATTCAATTTTTTGTTCCGGCTTTTGATGGCTTTAGTACTTGCTTGCTTTGAGTGCGTTTGTACTGGCCTCTTTCTTTGTCCATGTCATTTATCATTTATTGTGGTTGCAATGTCAAGTACGTAAAGCAGGATGCTTCCTTGAGATTAAAGAGGTCTGATAAACATCACAGATATTGAATTTTCTGGCCTTGTAACTTTTTTAACCACATTTTGTTATCATTTTATTGTTAATCCTAAAATTTTCTGCATCAGTTATGTGTTAGTAAATGCTACTATTCTTGTTTGAGCGGCTGTTTTGGTACATTGTTAATGGAGAGGAAAAGATAGCATTATTAGTGAAATTTAATAAGAACATTCTCTTTTTACCTATACCCTTTAGCTTTCTGGTTATTTTATACTAAAATATTTTGATCACTTGCTATTAACTCGGTTAAAAGTGCTGGATAGCTTCCCGGAAGAAGTTTCCATTCAAAACGAATGAGCATGTTGGGGGTGGGGAATTGGATATTAGGGTCCCAGCCAGCATTACAGCTTGCAGTAATGATAATTGTGATGGCTTGAAACCTCAACAATGCCACTTCCTCTGTCCATGTTAACATCCTTTCCTTTTTCTGTTCACTTGTAATGACCTAAAGTAGCAGAAAAAACTGTTATTCATTTCTTTCCCATGCCCTTGTGTAAAAAGTCGGCCTCGTTTTTCACAGGGATGATGTAAACACAAATATTTTAGTGTGTGGCTAAGTCATGCAGTCATGGACCTGCATTGCATTCTAGGGTCGTAGCCCATGCATTGTCTTAGTTTCTATGTAATCAGGGCTGAATTTGGATTTTGCAGTTTTGCCTGTCAATTTCTTTCTCTGTTGTTAATTGCATTCCTGATATGTAACTGAAATTCTGGGATGAAGGAGCACTTTCTTGTCTTCCTTCAGTTTATTTGCTATTTTCACTATTGCAGGGTATGGATGGGGAACTTGGAAACCGAAAACTAAGCTATGCCCTTACATTTTGCTTCAGAACAAGATTCTTTTGGATAGGTGATGCGTTAATGCTTGGAAAGCTTACTTGATTTGCAATGCTTATTTGTCACCCTTTCCTTTTATATAACAGATTTTGACTACACAAAGCACTTGAGGCAAATGATGGCAAGCCTTTACCTCTTTATCAGAAAGCTTTGTGCGGTCTGACAGCCGGAGCAATTGGAGCATGTGTTGGCAGTCCTGCAGACTTGTCACTCATTCGTATGCAGCTGACACTACGTTGCCTGCAGCCCAGAGGCGCAATTACAAAAATGCATTTCATGCACTTATCGTATACTGCCGATGAAGGAGTTTTGGCACTCTGGAAAGGTGCTGGCCCTACTGTTGTGAGGGCTATGGCACTTAACATGGGAATGCTTGCGTCGTATGATCAAAGTGTTGAGTTCTTTAGGGATTCCCTTGGTTTTGGCGAGGCTGCTACTGTTGTAGGTATGAATGATCCATATGAATTTGATGTGTCCCAGCTTTGTCATTAGATTCCTTAAACTTTAAACCTAGTGATGCTGTATAATTTACTGTCAGCTGACCATGGAAACATAAGTGTTTATAGAAAGTCTTGACATCCTTACCTTTCTTAAATGATTTGAGGCTAGTTTGGAATGATTTTCAAACCCAAGTGACCTCTCAATCTTCAATGACATTAGTCTCCTTTAGCTGCTTGTTACGTTTTCTGCAACTTTGGTGCTTAGCCAGGGTGCAAATGTTGTGAGATTATAATGGTGCCTTAGTCCCCTATGGGCTTTCCAAATTATAGAACCTTCTTTCTAATAGATTTAGGCTTGAAGCCGTGGAGGATATCAAAGATTGACATATGCTGTAAAATTTTGGCACAGGAAGTGGGTTCTTTTTGAATGCAAACGTTTTTTTTTTTTTTTTTGGTTGCAATGCTTGAAGTGGATTGCATTGTTCTGCTTTTCATGCTGCTAGTGATACTAAGAGATTGAAAGTACACTTAAGTTTGTGGACTGTTGGGGGCACTGGGGTTTTCTTTCTTTTACGGCTATTATGCATTTGGCTGATCCAGGCAGAGAGGTCTTTGAGAAAAGAAATATTGTCTGGTTGCATTATCCGCGCACTGTTTGCCCAAAGAAAATGTCTCTAATCCGGTTTCTGTTACTTTTTGGACAAGAAAGCCATTAAAAAATAATTTTTGCTTTTTCTACAATTGAATGTGTGGAGAAAGGTCACTTGACATAATGTGTGATAGTCACTTTTAAACACTTCTGTTTTGATTTACAAAAATTTTATATCATCTGTTATTTCCTTTCAGGGGCCAGCACTGTTTCTGGATTTTTTGCTTCAGCTTGCAGTTTACCATTTGATTATGTGAAAACTCAAATACAGAAGATGCAACCAGATGCTGAAGGAAAGCTGCCATACACTGGTTCTTTAGATTGTGTCTTGAAAACCCTCAAGTCTGGTGGGCCCTTCAAATTTTACACTGGATTTCCAGTGTACTGTGTTAGAATTGCCCCCCATGTTATGGTACTCTCTCTCTCTCTCTCTCTCTCGTATGGATTTCCTGAAAAGATAAATGAATAGCGACACTTTGCCCCGGTTTAAGTTTTACGTGTGAGAACGATGATTGTCCAAACTTACTGATCTTGTGTACATTTGCTTGACAGATGACATGGATATTCCTCAACCAAATTCAGAAAGTGGAGAAATCTATCGGGTTATAGTTTTAATGCGGCGGGAATAGAGAAATATCTGTGGGAATTGAGTTCTATGTCATAATAATATTCAACTTTGTGGTTTATTTAGTAGCTGCTGGTTTTTGGTGAACTTTGACATCCTTAAGCTCGGAAGGGATGGATGATCAAGAAACTGTTTTGAAAAGCAGCAGACTGACATAATTGTTGTACCAAGCTGGATCACAAACTTTAGAATTAGGCATTTGATGATGATGGGGTTTCAAACATCTTGCTTAGCGCATATATATTGAGGTTCACTTAATTTGAGATGCTGGAAATATTGTTTCAAATAATCCATGTACTATGACTAAAGACTGCCGCATCATAACCGGCTTCTTTTTGCTCTTGCTTAAATTTTTGCAAGTTCATCTTCTTCAGTGCGCTTGGGGTTGTTTTCTTTTCTTTTGCACTGCAATTATTTCTCATGTGAAAGATGAAAGCAGGCCTGTTTATTGGATCAGAACTAGCAATTGCAGTTGGGATTAACCAAGAAAGCAAGGAGGCATGGCACGGTGTTTTATTTTTTTGGAACAGGAAAGGGATGCCTGCCCCTTCTGACATGGCTTGGGATCATCATATGGTTCTTTCAGCTCAAATGTCATTTGTATGGAAAAAGTTTAGAAACAGCGTGGACTATGGTTCACGGTCAGATCCCTTGGATGGATGGTTATAAGTAATTTTTTTTTTCGACAGTCAGCAAAAGTTTACCCTACACCTACTTCTACCCTTATTTTAAGTGAGGTTCAACTGAGCCAATGAGGGGAACTGACGGGTGATGAATTACCATTGAATCAGACGTGTATATTACATATCCGTCTGAATTTTTTAAAGAGTCACATAATGTGACAATTGGTGGGAGAGGCAAAGTTTGAACCTTTGTCTCCCACCCTACCAAGCCTTAAGGGCTTCTGGTGGTTGGATGGTTATAAGTAACATGATTGAGCAGTAATGCTTCATTTGGATTTTGTTGCCCCTTTCACGAAGCAGTAATGCTCGGAAAATAAACATAATCAAGGAATTATTTGGTGAAGTTATAATTGCTTTATGGCATGATTAGGTAGTCTGAACAAGGAGAAATAGGGGTGGCAAATTTTACGCGTGTAACACTAATATCTCTAAAACTAGACTTGCCAGACGTGCATTTATTAGTCTCCGGTTCAGTTTGTTTAGCAAATCTTTGAGGTACTGCATTTTATAGGACTCAGGTTAGCAGATAATGGCTCCTTTGCCTGACTTATTAAGGGTTGTCCTGTTCTTGTAGAACTAGAGCTAGATTGCGCTCTGGAGATTTGTGACAGTTTGAACCCAGATGGTAGGAGCATGCAGATTGAAGTTGTTGAAGTTTTAATCCTTGCATGAAAAAATAGGTACTGAAGTTTTTCGGAATTCTGGTGCCAATGTTCTTCCGGAGTCCAACAAGCTTGGAGAGTTTGGACTATCAAGTTTGGAGAGGTGACAAAAATCATCAAGTTACTATAAATGCCACAAACCTTAAACATCTGGTATGTTACTGCCATGCCCCAAACCTTAAACTTTAATCAGGAGTTGGAATCTCTTGTAGCCGAAATATTAAGTGGCTCGGTCCATCCAGCATCAAAAAGTTGGGATTTTTTCGAGCTTTTGGATAGGGTGCGCAGAGTGGAATTGCCCTGTGTAAAAGAACCGATGTTGGAGGTACTTTTTCTTTTTCCAACTTTGGCTAGAATAAATGGACACTCAAATTCTCAAATACAAGTAGTACATTATTCTGATTACTACGTTCTCATGTGCCTGGAGGCTCTGTATAATTCCAGCTGTTCTTTGCCAACTTTCAACAATTTGATCATCTTGGACTGAAAGCCGTCAGCAATAGGAACATTGACCGCATCCAATCCTGGAAAGTGATGCCAAGATTCATTGAGAGCATGGTTAGCCATCTTGGCCAAGTCACCGGAACGGAGGAGACCAGTACGGTACTGATTCCCGAATCGTGGATAATTTCATATTCGCGGCGACTCGCTCTGACTCGGCTGATTCAAATCCACAATGCATGGAATCAGCCAAATTATCCGAGTCTTGTCTCAACTCTAACCTCAAAATATCCCCGAACCATATTTGAGAGTGCCCCTAACCTCAAAAAGCTTGTCTTGACTCTAGTGAATTATGCTGATGAATAGTTTTATCGTTAGAATTCCTTAAATTATATCTGTTAGCTTAATTTTCCTTCAACGACAGCTGTGTTGGCATGACGTCCTTCAACAACAGCTGTGTTGTCTAGGAAACATAGCTCGTAGAATTTGATTAGAAGGCATATGAATGTAAGCTTGTTGAGTATCTTCTGCAGAATAGAGGAGCTTTAAAGAAGATGAAGCTTTGACAACGCCTTCAACTTGCAAAGAGAATAATGTCATATAAAAGAAGCTATGCGGATTGCAAAATTCTGGTAGAAGAATGCTGTTCTGATTAGATGCTCATAAATTCATCCACCTGGAATTGCAATCTCTTTCAGCATCCAAGAAGCAGTTGCTACATTAAAGATCAGAATATACTCATGCTTAAATTTGCATTCAAACAGATTCCATCATAATTAATGTTGTTCTCACCTTTTTGCTGATTGAATTGATTTTTGATTGTTATTTCTTCCAAAAAAAAAAAAAAAAAAAATTCGCTCTGTCCATCCTGAGTATATGTATGAGTTCTCAAATCAGCATTTTTAGTTGCTGTTGAGAAGAAATTGTCAAGTTGGAGAGGGACCTTTGCCTTTCGTCTAGGTTATTTTTATCTGTTTGAAGGTCTCACAGTTATTTAGGAGCAAGCAGGGCTGAAGATGTTACTGGGACTTCATTTTGAGGCCTAATCAACTAATATACATTTTCATCTCTTTCTTACTTGGCCTTCTTGATTTACGTGGCTTCCTTTTACCATTGGTTTTATTTTACCAATAAATTATGCAGCTACAGTTCTGCTATATATGCACACAACAACAAAAAGCCAAAAAGGTTTCTTGGTATGCTCTGCCCTGCAAGAATAACTGTACTAGATTTGAGACAAAGATGGTGCATATGGAAATTGAGTTTAACTTATTTTGTACACTATTAGAAGCCAATCATGCTTAAATTGAAGCATAAGAACATGAATTATCCGCAGCTTTGATGTTTTCTATTTGCTTATAATTAAAAAAAACTAGATGTTATCTTTATCTTTTCTTTTAGTCTTACTAGTAATAGTTTACGTGCTTTGCACGTGATTGTAATATTTTAAAATATATCTTTAGATACTAAAATTTTTTTTTATAAAATTTTGATCATCAACATCATAGATTCATAATATAGTATTTTTAAGTTATTTATTTTTTTAAACTAGTTCCTTTTAAAAATTTTATTAAATGAAAAGAGACAGAAAACATTTTAATGTAGTTGACATGTCCCTTAAGATTGAATTTGGAATCATGAAGCAAATACTTTTTGATTTATAGCTTGAACTCTAACATATCAAATATTGATAATATCATGTTTTACCCAAATTATTATATATTCATGATTCTATGCATATAAAACACAATCATCACAATTTTTTATAAACAAAGAATATAATTAAGTTAGAAAAATAAACATACATGTAATTTGAATTCTTTTTATTATGTTAGTTTTATTTTTGTCAATAATGGAGTATAAATGATCTACCAGGTAAAGTTTTTTTCGTTTGTACTCTCTGCCAATTAAAATTTTATAGATAGAGATAGTTGGAGCTTTTCTATTTTCTTTTCTTTTATTCATATTTTTAGCAAAACATCCAATGCGAAGCAAGAGCAAAAAGACTACTTTTTTCATATGAGCACAATATTTTTGGTTCTGGTATCAGTTTTTTTTTTTTATGATCATGGAATTGGAATGAGAATTGTGGCTAATTAACAATTTTAATATTAGTTTTTTTTTGTATATTGCAGTGTTTTATTTTTTAATTGCCAACTTTTAATTCATAACCGCTATCATTATTATCAATTATTGGAATGCACTAAATCTGTCTAATTACAATTGTCACCATAAATGAAATTTACTTAATTTTAAATCTTTTTATTTCATAATAGTGGTTTGTATGGTGCTTTTTCAGATTTCTTTTTTCTAGTTTAATACTGCTATTTCAGTTATAAAGATATCGTCATTTTTTGTATATTGAAATTTCATTGGGTGCAACATGAAAAATTTTTCATATTGCTAAAAAGTGGATAATTGTAAATACTCGTGATATTTGTATGAAGATATACATATAAATAGGGTTCTCTTCTCCTTGTATATTTCTCTATTTTTAAGAGAGTATCTATTTTTTGAAATTTATTTTTATTTTTTACAATCTCAACTACTTACTAATGAGAAATTTTTCATGCTTCAATTAAGAAATTTTGATACGTATAATAATTGGAGATGGAGTCCAAGAATAGGTAAATAGTTTTTAATGAGCAATTTTTAATTATAATTATCAATACTATTAAGATGTAATCAATTGAAGTGTTTTATTTCTTTTAATTAATGCCACATTAAAATGCAACAATTCTAATTAAAAGGCATAAGGATAATTTAGAGATAACAAAAACTAAGATAAAAAAGTATTTACACTTACACTCCCTAATATTAAGATTCATACTTTGTATACAATAATGATTCATACTTTTTAGACAGTAATGACACATTTGTTATAGACTATCAGTAGCACATGTAGTGGCAATATTAGTAAATTCAGGGTGAGTGGCGTTGAAGTTGAACTATTGGCTCCGTTTGGATTAGCTGTTTTTGGGGTTATTTTTCAAAAACAGCACCGTAGCATTTCGTTTTTGAAATACAAGTCTGTTTGGATTAGTTGTTTTTGGGGTTGTTTTTCAAAAACTATATGAAAAACTTTTACTATAAATGTTTTTTGAATTATTTTTAGAGGTATTTTTAAAACATATTTTTGGATATTTTTATAATTTATAATTTATAATTTTTATTTTTATATACATTTATGCATTTATAATACATTTATAAATATTAATAAATAAATATATTTATATATTCGCTAAAAAATATATAAATGTATTATATTATATATAATACATAATATAAATATATTTATAAATGTATAAGTGTATATTATTGTAAATGTATAAATTATAAATGAATATTATATAAATTTATAAATTATAAATTATAATTTTTATATTTTTATATTTTTATATAAATATACATTTATGCATTTATAATACATTTATAAATATTTATGAATAAATATATTTATGTATTTATATAAGAATATATAAATGTATTATAATATATATAATACATGATATAAATATATTTATAAATGTATAAGTGTATATTATTATAAATGTATAAATTACAAATGAATATTATACAAATTTATAAATTATAATTTTATTAATATATATTAATATTATGTATAAATGTATTAATATAATTAATATAAATGTACAAATGTATTAACATTATGTGTAAATGTAAAATAATATTATGTATATTAATATAAATGTATAAAATATATATAATACATAATATAAATGTATATTATAAATACACATTAATATATATTATGTATAAATGTACATTTATATAAATGTATAATATATATATAATATATATTACATATTATAATATATATTACATATTATATTATATATAATATATATAATATATAATATTCATATAAATATATTATAAATATATAAAAATATTTTTTAATAAAATAACATATTTATAATATGTATAAATAAATATATAAATATTTAATATATATATAATATACAATAATATTAATTATAAATATTATAATATTATACATATGGTGTTTATATAATATTTCAATTTGTAATATTTATTGTATATTTCATTATATAAATATTTATATAATATATAATTTTTAATTTGTATAATATACATAATATTGTATATATATAATATAATATAATAATATAATATAATATACATAATATACATTATTACATTATTACACATTTATGTATATTATATATTATATATAACATTATTATACACAATAATATACATAATAATATTATACATTAATAATATATATTATAATATAATGTACATAATATTATGTATAAATATTTGCACATTTATGTATACAATATTACATATTATGTATATTATATTATATTATGTATAATATACAATATTATGTATAATATTAATGTATATAAATATTTATATAATAAAATATATATATATAATTTTCAATTTGTATATTTCAATTTATATTAATATAATATATATATAATATACATAATTAAAATATACAAATTGAAATATACATATGTAGTTGTTTTTGATATAATGTTTGGATATGGTGTTTTTGGAAGTGTTTTGGAAAAACACATTTACTTGTAGTAGCATTTGGAATGTGAAAAAAACATTTTTCAAAAACAGGCTCAAAAACAAGGGATCCAAACAAAATTATACGAATTGAACTGTTGGATTCAGGCAATTAAACATATTTTCACCCATGGGCATCTATGAGGGGAGTGGGTAGGGTGAGGGAACATAGAAAAGCTGTCTTGCTGCCATTTCTAGGTCTTTTGGTGCTATGTTACACATTTTAATGTGTTGATACGCATCTTTTTTTAAACTATCACAATAACACTCTTAATTAAATTTAACTCTTGAGTTACCTTTCTTTTTTTAATATATAAAAAGCGCAAAGATTTCATTAATTGAAGCACTGCATTGCCATTAGGCAGGATACAAAAAATGAGAAGGATTCCAATTAGAATTTCCTACCAATCTAGCTTGTTTATTAAAAACATGATTTGATTGATTACAAGTTCTATGTATCAACAGCAATTTCAATTCTTGAAATTGATTCATCAGTAATCAGATTACACTAGCAGAAGAAAGGTCCTTGGAATCAGATTATACTCAGATAATACTGCTTGAATAATTGAGCTACAATCACCTTCAAGAAGTACTCGAGAACTCCTAATACCAGCAACAAATGAAAAGGCTTCTTTACATGCAAGTGCCTTCGCGATAACTGGACAGCTATAACCAGGAATCAACTAGAAGAACCCACAAGAAATACACCCAAGTGATCGTGAATGACAACATCCAAACCTACAGCATTCAACTCTTTGAAAACTGCTCCATCAAAATTAACTTTGATGAAGCCCTATGAAGGAGGTTGCCAGTGTGCTAGAAAACTACGAGTATGGGATCCTTGAGTTATTAACCTAATCAGTCATAGCTAAAAGGAAACATCGTTTCTCCTCCTCTCATCCAAAAATACATCTCCTACCAAGTTAAATTTCAATAACTTTCAATAATTTCTACTATTTTAATTTTTAATATATATATTTTTTATTTTTTAAAATTAGACTTGTAATTATCACTACTTTTCAAATTCTGGGTTCAAGTTCTTAAGACATACCATGTTGGACTTGATATGCCTTCGAATCTCTTCACATATCAAGTTCTTAAGAACAGCATAAAGGAAGGCAATGGCTTTCTATTGAGAATAGCAGTCCGAGTGGAGTCAAACTCGTCAAGTAAGGCCATAAGAAACAAAATAACGCAATGAGAATCACGGTAGGTATAGAATTTTTTTGCTTTATTGGGGTAGTTCCAGCAGGGTTCTGATTCAGCAATCTCATCCCAAAAACAGACCATGTCGAAGTAGATATCCTAAACAGATTGACCAAACTGTTGTTTCATGGCTTGCAATCGAAGGAAAAGTTGGTACTATCGAGAGAGATCGATAGCAGTGTAACGATCAGTTAAGAAGTCCCAAACTACCTTTGCAATATCAAATCGCTGAAAAAGGCGATTAATGGCAGGCACAGAGGTATTGGTAAGTCAAGTGATAATTTTATGATTATCACTGTCCCATTCTTTGAAACGAGTGTTAAATTTTTTAGAAGATTCTCCTTCAACAGCAACAAGGATAGTGATATCACCAGTGATATATTTCCAAAGTTTACGATCACGCGAGAAAATATAAATAGGTTGAGAAACATCATCTTGAGCCATTGGAGATGACAAATAACCAAAAATATACACAAAGGAGTGGACAAATAACAGTATAGTACTGATGAACTAGATAAAGCGAACTAGATTTGGTCAAATGACGATGACGTCAACAGATACAATTTGCAAGGTGTGGACCTGAGCAATACACGAACCGGAGCAAAAGAGTATTGATGTACAAGAACTAGAGATGCAATTAAACATCCAAGGACTAAATTGGCTTGTGGACCAGATTATCACAAGCACTATACTGATTAGAGAACTAAATTGACTTCAAAAGCAAAACATGAACATGCTTGGCATATGATAGAGATTGACAGACTGTGCATGCAAGATTGAAAAATTCTTGAAAAGCACTTGTTTATTGCTTATTTAAGTTAAAAATTTCTAACATTCTACTATTCAAATAAAAAAAATAAGTTAAAACCCAACAAGGTGTTATGGTAAATGTATGTTAGTTTACCTTGACAAATTCAACACCTGGAATAATCAACTGTTAGCAGAAGCGCATCATGAATCTCTCTTATTTTTGGGTGGAAATGTATAGTCCATTGTCCAATTGTGAAAGACATTGCATGATCTAGCGGCAGTGCTTCCTTGAACCTTTGAACGAGGGCTTAGAAACCCTTGCATGTGAATACATATTCTTGGCAGCACATAATCTTTGAATTTCTGCCATCCCACTACATGCTTTGCTTTTGCTTTCCCAATGACTGTTACTGCTATCTTCAACATCTAGCTTCCATCATCAAATCTTCTCTTCTTCTTAACCAAATTACATTTCCAGAAGATAGATAAAGAAAAAAAAAAATCGAAACAGGCTAACAAAAAGTTTAGCCAAATCATTACCTTCATTTCTGCATTCCGAGCACTACAGAACCATAACACTTTCAGTTTTTCTACATGATGTTTGAGAAGCCTCCATCAATGCTAGTGCAAATTAATGAGCAAAATAACTATAATTGATGACCATCTTCATCTGCGAAACTTGCCTGCCGAGTGACAGTAATTTCTTCCTTTTGACATTCTCACAAAAACGACAGGGAACCATGTTGTTCTTTTTCCAACGAGATGATGTCTGCTTCCTAAATAGATTCAGGAAAAAAACACCACCATGTTAGCCACGTTGAACCATCAAAACTTATGAAGAATGTATTACAAAAATTTCTAAAGAGCAAATATTAAGCAGAATTACATCGATTCAGCCATAAAAAAACGCATACTAAATTCAGAGCATAGCTTTTGTATGTGATTCATTTGAAGTTAAGGCAACAGCAACAGAAACATTGTAGGCCTTCAAATTTAATTCATTGAGACTACATACCTCTTCATCTACTCTGTCACCTATTGCTTCCTAGAAGATTGATCTTCACTCCTTAAGAGAACAATTGTCTACCACATCACCATCCATACATTTTTGCTTGGAAATCACTGCTTTGTACATGTGCCAACATAGCCCATGAGACATTTGTCTAAAATGCTAAAATAGATATTTCTATAAATATTTTATCATGAGCAAGTCCTTATGCAAGTACGATGGAAAAATCACCAATCTACTAGATAACCAAAAATGAAAGGCTAAAAAACAGAGCATTAACAAACCCAGAAGGAAGTAATGGTAGCAAAAGTCAATCGAATTTGCATAAATTGTCCTTGTGATTCTTTCTGAAAAGAAAGTGATTATCAAAGCTAAATGTTTAACTAAATGTTAAAGGAAGAGTAAGATGATAATCTTTCGTCTCTTTCTAAAATGACGTTCTAAACTAGAGTTTGGCAAACTAATCTGAAGAACAAAAATGCAAAATTTATATTCATGTACTAGCATTCATAAATTCTCTTATTAACTTCTTTTAGCTTGACTGATTTCTCCTGACCGACTAAAATCTTTGGGCCAAACAAAAATCAGAAAAGGATAACCGTTTTCAGAAAGAAATGGGTAATGGATGTCAATAGCTTTTCAGTGTTGGGAAGTTGTTTCCTTCTTCCTTGAATTCTTAAGAGTAATTTATCAACTTCCATTGAATGGGCATGCTGAAACATGCTCATTTAACCTAACAAGCAGATACTTTATGGTAGAGTACCTCTAATTAGGTGAAACCATGTTGGAGAACTTCACGTGAAACATTTATCATTGATCTCCCACCTTCATTAGTCTTCTGAAATGTTACATATTCCAAGTGGTTTCTTAATAATTATAAATTATTTTTAGATTTGCTAGTCTTTCTTGGCTAAAACATAACAGATAGAATGCTACAATAACAAAACCTGTTTATTGATCATTCAAACTGCAATTTTTTGGATTGTGACTATTTATCTTGAAGTAGACATGTCAAAATAATTAAGTTAAGAACCAAGAAGGTACTTAGGGTACGTTATTTTACTAAAACAAATTCAACATTGAGCCTGGTACCTGGAATGACTAACTGTCAGCACAGTTGTATAATGAGTCTCTGTTGTTCTTGAGTGGAAAGGTATAACCTATTGTCCAATTTACAAAGGCCTTGCAAGATCTGGCGGGAACCTTTGAACGAGGATGTAGAAATTCTTGCCGCTGCAATTGCAGCACCAAAACTTTGAACTATTTCCATCCAAATGAACGACTGACACTGCAATCGCATGCTTCGTTTATGTCATCCAAACGATCACCAATGCTGTCTACAATGTCTAACTTCTTTCCATCAAATCTTGTCACCTCTGAAACTAAAGTATTAGCACGTCCAGTTTTCTTCAAGCAAGTCTTGTACCTTGATAACTCTCCAGTACCAGCTACCATGCTCTTCTCTAATTCTTCTCAATCCATACTGCTTTCTACAAGCCTGGCACAAGCCACTCTGTTTTCAGCATGCTACAATGAGAAAAGGTTCAACATTTGATTTATTTTGTTAAATACTTCCAGAAAATAGATAAAAAAAAAAACAAAAACGAAAAGCCATTGAAACAGGCCAATAGACATGCAGTCAACATTTTTTACCTTCATTTCCACATTCTGAGCAATATATGGCATTCTAGTGGGAAAAATCACAGATAACTACCTTCCATCTTCAAAACCTGACAGATAAGTGAAAATAACTCCTCCCTCCTGACATTCTCATAAGAAAACACGGGAACGTTGGTGTTCTTTGTCCAAAAAACATGTACTCTGCTTCCTAAACAAATTCTGGAAAAAAATAACAATATTACATCACAGTTCTGCTTCAGTTATGACATTAAGCAGAAATATGAGCCATAGAAAGGTTGGGTCTGGTAACTCGTGCAACAATTTATCACTCAAAATCCTAAAGAGCAAAAATCAAGTTATATTCCATTGATTAAGCCATAAAGAACACTTACTAGTGCAGATACCAACCTGCATTTAGGCACAATTCCATGTCTCAAACATACTTGCAAACTTGGACCAATTCCCTTGTACTTCTAGTAAGTTGGTGGAGAAATTTCCAAACCACATACCTCCTCATCTTTCTTCAAAAATGATTGGAAACCACAGCCTGATGATAAGAAAATCCAATTCACAAAATAGAAAAGTAGCTAGTTATAGTATCTGAATTTTAAAAATTTTAAAAGATGATAAGAATTTATAGTTTTAGCAGCAGCCTAATTTAATGGCAATCATAATGCAGAGTCTTACAGAGAGATAACAGTGAATATTAAGAACATATCCATCTATTAAATGCCAGCGGTAAAAACAAAAATTGTAATGTTCTCCCCAAATTGCTATTTCATTGGTTTTAATGTTGTTTGGAAATATCAGTGACAAAAAAAATAATAACATACCCCATTGAAGCTGAATGTTTACCAAGTTCATCCTTCGGATGGTTCAGAAAAGCAGATGAAATCCACAATTTTGTTATCTTTCAATTTGCTCGTAACTCTACTTTGTTAATGACATGAAAGAGAGAGTAATCTTTTGCCAGAAGAAGTAGAGGAATAGATATTTATGGAGAAAGAGAGTGAGGGACAAATACGGGGTAGAATAAGATGATCCAATAATGAGAAGGAATTAATTAAAATTTTGAGATGAGATCTTACCACATCAATTTCACGCTCCGGAATATTAGAGATCTTGGGCCACTCGGAGCCGCTTCGAGGAGTGCATCTTCGTTCTAATAGAGGACACCACCAAATTTTCAGACGTCTTAATTTGAGGCGTTCCATGGCATCTACGGAGGGTAAATATTCAAGCTTTGGGCAATTGAATAGGATTAGCTCATCAAGAGACGCAAGGTTCCCAAGCCAATCTGGTAAGGCTTCGATTGCTCCAAAGTACACCAAAACTTTGAACTATTTCCATCCAAATGAACGACTGACACTGCAATCGCATGCTTCGTTTATGTCATCCAAACGATCACCAATGCTGTCTACAATGTCTAACTTCTTTCCATCAAATCTTGTCACCTCTGAAACTAAAGTATTAGCACGTCCAGTTTTCTTCAAGCAAGTCTTGTACCTTGATAACTCTCCAGTACCAGCTACCATGCTCTTCTCTAATTCTTCTCAATCCATACTGCTTTCTACAAGCCTGGCACAAGCCACTCTGTTTTCAGCATGCTACAATGAGAAAAGGTTCAACATTTGATTTATTTTGTTAAATACTTCCAGAAAATAGATAAAAAAAAAAACAAAAACGAAAAGCCATTGAAACAGGCCAATAGACATGCAGTCAACATTTTTTACCTTCATTTCCACATTCTGAGCAATATATGGCATTCTAGTGGGAAAAATCACAGATAACTACCTTCCATCTTCAAAACCTGACAGATAAGTGAAAATAACTCCTCCCTCCTGACATTCTCATAAGAACAACACGGGAACGTTGGTGTTCTTTGTCCAAAAAACATGTACTCTGCTTCCTAAACAAATTCTGGAAAAAAAATAACAATATTACATCACAGTTCTGCTTCAGTTATGACATTAAGCAGAAATATGAGCCATAGAAAGGTTGGGTCTGGTAACTCGTGCAACAATTTATCACTCAAAATCCTAAAGAGCAAAAATCAAGTTATATTCCATTGATTAAGCCATAAAGAACACTTACTAGTGCAGATACCAACCTGCATTTAGGCACAATTCCATGTCTCAAACATACTTGCAAACTTGGACCAATTCCCTTGTACTTCTAGTAAGTTGGGTGGAGAAATTTCCAAACCACATACCTCCTCATCTTTCTTCAAAAATGATTGGAAACCACAGCCTGATGATAAGAAAATCCAATTCACAAAATAGAAAAGTAGCTAGTTATAGTATCTGAATTTTAAAAATTTTAAAAGATGATAAGAATTTATAGTTTTAGCAGCAGCCTAATTTAATGGCAATCATAATGCAGAGTCTTACAGAGAGATAACAGTGAATATTAAGAACATATCCATCTATTAAATGCCAGCGGTAAAAACAAAAATTGTAATGTTCTCCCCAAATTGCTATTTCATTGGTTTTAATGTTGTTTGGAAATATCAGTGACAAAAAAAATAATAACATACCCCATTGAAGCTGAATGTTTACCAAGTTCATCCTTCGGATGGTTCAGAAAAGCAGATGAAATCCACAATTTTGTTATCTTTCAATTTGCTCGTAACTCTACTTTGTTAATGACATGAAAGAGAGAGTAATCTTTTGCCAGAAGAAGTAGAGGAATAGATATTTATGGAGAAAGAGAGTGAGGGACAAATACGGGGTAGAATAAGATGATCCAATAATGAGAAGGAATTAATTAAAATTTTGAGATGAGATCTTACCACATCAATTTCACGCTCCGGAATATTAGAGATCTTGGGCCACTCGGAGCCGCTTCGAGGAGTGCATCTTCGTTCTAATAGAGGACACCACCAAATTTTCAGACGTCTTAATTTGAGGCGTTCCATGGCATCTACGGAGGGTAAATATTCAAGCTTTGGGCAATTGAATAGGATTAGCTCATCAAGAGACGCAAGGTTCCCAAGCCAATCTGGTAAGGCTTCGATTGCTCCAAAGTAAAGTAGAGATAGTGATGTGATGGTAGTCGAGTCTTGAAGCTGATGTGGCAGAGATTTCGTGTCATGCATTCCATACAAAGACACGTGTTGCAGTGATGATGAAGATGCTAATCCAGCCCAATCAAATTCGATTATTGAGTCATCTGAGAAGGGACCAATCAGCACTTTCCCTAAGCTGGTAAGATAGCCAAATCCACTAGGCATCTCAGCAATCAAGTTGGGACACCACCATAACGAGAAGCTCTCGAGAGAAGGGGTCCGTCGCAAATCAAGGGGAAAGGAGACCAGACTGCGGCAATTGGACAAATTCAGCTCTCGGAGGGACGTACACGACTCGAACATCTCCACTGGTAACCTTGTTAATGCATGGCACCCTTCGACAGTAAGTCGCTCAAGAGACTTGAGGAGGCTTTTCTGTCCAAATGAATTTTAGGATTTGGATATCCAAATGAATCAATTCTTGGGCAAACCCGTATGCTCAAGTCCTCTAAAGCTTGAAATTGATAGAGATCTTCTGGCAACTCCCGTAAATTCTCACAATGACCGACTTCCAATCTCTCAAGACAAGCGGCGCAACTCATTCCTCTTAATGTTGTTACATTAGCGGCATCCCTCAATTCTACACGCTGAAGAGTTGGAAAAAAGACAGAGTCGCTCAAGCATGTCAGTGGGTAGACTGTTACAGCCATCAATACTCAAGCTGCTCTCTGGTCGTCTCACTAATTTTAGAGACTCGATGCGTTGACCAAGACCACCACTTAATTTAAGGGACGAGAGATTGGCTATATTGGTCAAAACCTTTTCTGCCAGCAAAACGTGGCAATTCCTTGTTATTTGCAATACATCAAGACTTGGGAAACGACTTGGAGTTGGAATGGTGGTCAGTTGGGGGCAATCACTAATAGACAACTTTTCAAGCACGGGAAATGCATCCATCACATGTACTTCACCTGCGGTTGACCTCATTTCGCGTGCGTCCTTCCACTCTTCCAAGTTTTGCATGCTTTTAAGAGAGAGTTTTTTAAGGGCTGGAAAGAATGTGTCTGAACCTCCTGATCTGCCGTCCTCCTCAGCACTTGTACTGTAGAATGAAAGCCCAATGCTTCTTATGTTTTCCAATCCAGTCAAATAGAGGCTCTTGAGGAATGGCAGCTGTCCAAGTGCTGGGAGTTTTCTGCATCTTGTGCAATCCTTCACCTGCAACTCCACCAGTGATGGCAATGTCAAATTCATGAACCATTGTGGAAACTGATCACCCATGAACTTCAAAATTTGTAACTCTTTTAAATTTGGGTGAGGTTGGAGGCCTTCCAACACATTTTCATCGCATTTATTACTTTCCCGATCCCTATTGCCCCACTCAAATACCAACCGATGCAGATTTGGCTTTTTAGATAGGTTTGCCAGTTCAGCATCATCTTTGCCATTTACTAATTCAAGATTTCTGATCTCCAAGGAGCCTTTAAGATCTTCCAAGGTTCCAAGCTCTTGGATACCACGACCTTCCTCTTGACGACCTATATTAAAGAACTCTAATGTTTGAAGACAAGTCCATCGTCCAATCCCGGATGGCATTTGGATTTTGCGTCTTGTATCATCATGAAAATAGTGAAGATGTCTCATGCTAATCAAATTGCTCATCTCCTTTGGAAAACCTTCTTCAAGCTTGCCAATTCTCAGTGTTTGCAAACAGTAAAGTTTGCAAAGAGATTCTGGCAAAGTTGTAATACAAGAACGTGAAATGTCAAGTAAGTGTAAATGTATTAGTTTGCCAACGGATTTCGGCAGCTTTTTGGCATCTGCTCCAAACAATTTTAGGACGTGCAAGTATTTGAACTTTGATAACATTTCATCAGCTATGCCACCCTCCAGAAATAATGTGCGAAGTGATGCTGATTTTTTTTCGTTCATGTTTTCTACCATTCTTTCAGATGCCGCAAGGTAACGGTCCTGATTGCTGCTGTTACGATTCAAAATTGATTTTGCAAAATCATGCACAAGATCATGCATTTTATACCTTGTTCTCCTCCAATCTCTTACTTCTTCCAATAAGGAAGTTTGCAGCAAAATTCTGAAATACTCATATCCCATTCCCTCCATCGTTTGATTTTGGGAATCCGGTTGAAGAAAGCCTTCAGCCATCCAAAGCTCAACTAGTCGATCTTGTTCCAATTCAGTATCTTGATCAAAAATTGAGCAATATGCGAAGCATTTCTTAACCGGTGCAGGTGACAGATGATCAAAACTCACCTTAACTATTTGCTCGATCCCACCCTGACCTTGATTCAAGAGGCTCTCCTCCAAAATAGATAGCCACTCCTCTTTTCTCTTTTTAGATAACAATCCTCCAATTAACTTTGCTGCCAGAGGTAGACCATCACATCTTCTTAAAACTCGCTCCTTTTTGTCTTTTGGTACTTCTTCCCCTACATTTACCCATTTATTAATGATGGACCAGCAATCATTATCGCATAGCTTTCCCAGCTCATGGCGAGTAAAATTGATCTGCGGATGTCTAGACAGAACAATTGCCACTTCTTGCAGACGAGTGGTAACCAGACACCAGCTCCCTTTCTTCGGTTTGAGTGCCTTCAATGTGGTGAAAAAGTCATCCAACAATCCTTCTTGATCATTCCACAAATCGTCGAGAACAAGCAAATATCTTTTTTCCTTAAGTTCATTTTCAATTCCTTGAACTATTACTTGCCTATTATCCACTTCAGCCTTTTTTCCTGTTGACGATTCTAGAATCATTTTGAAGACCTTCTCGATTTTATCTACTTCTTCAGCCACACAAACCCAAATTTTTTTGTTAAAATGATTGTCAAATTGTGGAGTGTTGAAAACGGCTTTAGCTAGAGTTGTTTTGCCTAATCCTGGCGGGCCAGTTATGGAAATAACTGAAATACGATCACTTTCAGATTCGGCCAACAACTTCTTAACTATTTCTGATTCATCCTTATCTCTTCCAAGGACATCTCTTCGATCAATGGTAGAGTCGGTCTGTCGGCTTGTTGTGGCTCCAGGTGCTATAGTAGGGAATGCTTCTTCAACTTGGTGCTTGTAGGCCAGTCCCAAACCTTCTGCATCCCGATGGATCCTTTGAAGGTTCATGTTGATCTCCCTGATCATTGAACCCAACCTCCAACGAAAACCAATTTTATTAAAGAATGAAAAGCAGAAGAATACCTTCTTTTTCGTGAGTTGATTTTGATACTTCACCTTCCGACGAAGATTTTCATAGTTGAGCTCGTCCAGCACATTGTCGGCTTTGAAAACCTCTTCTTCCAGCTGCTCGAGCCAAATTTGCACCACTGGGCTATGCATTTGCTCGTCGGCACCAGCCAAGAAGCCTCCGATCATTTCAGCAGAATCGTTGAGTTTCTTCAGCTCCTCTGGGAATTCACGAGCCAGATTAACATGATCAGCGGCAAGGGAAACAACCGCCTGCAACGCAACCTGAATGGTAGCACTAACAGCAGCATCAGCCATTTTTTCTCGCTTGGGATTGGAATTAGGATGAAAGTGTTCTGCAATGGTGACGGGGGGATGCTTTCTGCGATGAGACAAGGAAGGATATGGTTCAACTTTGGCAACTAAGGGCAGCAAAATCTGTGGAGGCTAAAACTTGCGGGAATGAAAATTTTTCCACACAACTTTTTGCACTTCCAAAATTTTCCACTTTTTGCAATTTGCCCCCCGGCTTCACTCTGCAAAGCTACACTCCAAAGACGTCACCAACGAACTTTTCTTTTACCGCTTTACCCTGACTTCCTGAAAGTTGCCGACAATTCGTAGCCACACCTTCTTGCCGACAAATTGTCGCATCTGCAGCATATGGCCAACCTGCAACTTGCAGCTAAAACAGTGGGTGGAATAAAGCAGGTCTAACTCGTCATCTGCTTCTTACTGGCTTAATTATCGTCTAACTCATCATCTTGTAGTTTCTCTTTTATTCGTTTTATTTTTTTTTTACTCCTTCCCGATTTACTTTTTTATTTTAAAATGTCTTAAAATATTTATTATTTTATTAAACTCAAATTTACTTTTAATCACCTTTTTTCAATGCTATTTCCACATTAATCAATATTTGGCACTAAATTTAAGTTTAAAATTTTGAATTTTTGAAGATAATTTTAGAAACAAATTCACTAACATCACCGTCAAGTTATTTAATATTTTAAAAAAAATTTAATCTTGAAATGAAACAAATAATTTGAAGTGGAATGAAAGGTTCAACTTCAGCAGCTATCATAGGGAATGAAATTTGCAAGTCGACTTTGAAAATTGTCCGCCTTTGCAATATGCCGGGCTCCACTGCACACTCTAAAGACACAGCTTTAGACTCTAAAGACACAATGGACCACAGCGCCACTCTAAAGACACATAAAAGCTGTCCTGTTATCAAAGGAAGTTGCCGACAATTGCATGTGTGAGCCAGCCTGCAACTTGACTCTTCGGTCACATTTCTTATTGGCTCTCTGATTCCTCCTTATCACAATGCAGTAAGAGAGCAAATTGGCTTAACGTCTAACTCATCGTCTTGTAGTTTCTCTCTTATTCGTTTTATTTTTTTCACTCCTTCCCGATTTACTTTTTTATTTTAAAATGTCTTAAAATATTTATTATTTTATTAAACTCAAATTTACTTTTAATCTCTTTCTTTTTTCAATGTTATTTTCACATTAATCAATATTTGGCACTAAATCCAAGTTTAAAATTTTGAATTTTCGAGGATAATTTTGAAAACAAATCCACTAAAATCACCGTCAAATTACTTACTATTCTTTAAAAAATTTGAATCCTGAAATGAGACAAATAATTTGAAGCCGAGGGAGTATTATTTTAATTTCCACCAGTTTTGCATGTATACTTAAATATAATGATGATTTCTCCATAGAATTTTGGTACCTTGTATTGCATTTTGTTATTTTAAAATTAAAACACGTAGTTCTTTTCAACATTAAAAACTTTTGAAAGGTTTTTTTACTTTCATAATAGATTACTGCAAAATCATCACTGATTATTTCCCCCCACAAACTCAATAGTGCAAAATAGTCCTATTGAATTTTTATAATGAACAAAAAGGATTAATCACTAGAGGGAAAATTTTGTACAAAAGAACAATTACTAACAGCTAATGATATAAATACACACCAATTAACAAATGGCAAGTAATATGGACTTGACTCAATTAAAATACTCCCTTCGTTTTTCAGGTGGCCATGCGTTTTTGAATGATAATCACAAGATTGTGACAAAATATGTGGGACCCAAAAGCTTGAAATTTCTCCAAACCACTTTTGAGGGCTGTGGCTTGTTGGCATTTTCACTTGAAATGCCTTTGTTGCTGGGGCCTTCATGTTCTCTGATTCTCTGATTCTCTGATTGAATGTTTGCGCGGGCACTAATAGATCTCACACACGTTACAAATAATATATTATTTTTTATGTTATATATATTTAAAAGAATACCATCGTACTCTTTTTTAAAAAATTATTTCAAATAATCTACCATCTAAACACGTTCATAATATCCATCCAAGAGTGATAAGAAATTGCTTTTGTCTCCTCGCAATCAAATTGAAATAAAGCAAAGGGTCAGTTAGCACTAATCTCCAATGTAATTAGGGATAAGGTGCACTTTGCCCACTTGAATTTATTTTATCATCACTAAACAGAAACACACCTCTTCTTTTAAGGTTAGCTATTTCGCATCTTGGTTCAAAATAGAGACGCACAGTTATAGTCTCCTTAGCGTCTCAATAATCAAGCTCGTGATCTCAAATTAATTGAACTTTTATTTTTTGAAATAGATAATAATCATTGAATTATTAAAACTTCTACTCCCTCTTTCCATTGCTCATGTTATGTTTTTATGGATAATTTCAGAAACCTCCCTTGAGGTTTTTGACAATTTGATAGGGTGTAAATTGTTGGGTATTTTATTGTTAATTTCCCCTTTTATCCTTGCCAAATATTGTTTTAATTATTAATATTTACTTATATTTGGTATTGGACCCAATTTCAGGGATTGAAGCAGAAAATTACCAAAAAGGAGGGACTTGTATGAAAAAATGCAGACTTCTAAGGACTTCAACCTTTGGGTCCTTGAATTGGTGGGGACCACAAGCTAGTGCAAAGCATTTAGTCATTTGGGCTTTTCAAAGAAAGCAACGTAGGGAGACTTGGAACAACAAGTACTTTGGAGGTTTTGTCCACATGTGCGGGGACCACGGATAAGAAGCATGAGTCATTTGGACTCTAGGAAAAGAAACGTACAAGACTTTGAATTTGGTGTGGGGACCACTAGAGATAGCATTAGACTTCCTTTTGGCTTCAAAAAGGGAGAAACGTACGAGAGGTTTATCAATCAATAGTTTTAGTTTAGGTTTTTAGCATAGTTTTAGTTTGCTTTTCTTGGCTTTTTCGCATGGTTGTTCTCCATTAATGGAGGACTAACCTCTCAATTCTAGTCAAGGGGACAACTGAAGACTTGGTTCAACAATTACTGTGAAATCGAATTTATTTTAATTGTTTCCTCCATTTATTGGTATTCATATGTTTCCTGCTTTTAATTGTCATAGCCTTGTGTATGATTGGTTAGTGCGTAATAATTAATTATTCATATAGGCTATTTTGCTAAATAGGGGTAATTGAATCCGTAATTGTTCGTTATCTCTATCTCAGTAGCGACTGGTGTAATTGGGTTTATATCAGGGGAATATATGATCTAACTTAAACAAACCCTCGTAGCGTGTTTGTTAGTTAGGATTGGGTCTTTCTAAGGTTTCATGCAAACCAGAAATTAAATTCTACGGTCGTACCTAGGATTGTTTTTGGGTTAGGGAAATAGCTAACGGTCGTACCTTAGCTATCGATAAATTAAGGAAGGGTTGGTTGTTTATCGCGTGCATGACAACTATAACCAATCTATTAATAAATGTTGGGATTATTTTTGCATCAATGATCAGTGCATGAACCATTTCTGAAGTATACCCTTGACTAGAGTTTCTCTTAGTTATTTCTTTTAATTAATTATTTTCTGCATTTAATTTGTTCAGTTGGTTTTTGATACCAAAACCCCCCATTAATCTTGATTTGAAAAGAAACAAATATCTCTCCAGTCCCTGAGGAGACGACCCTGCTTACCACTGTCTACTAGTTAGGAAATTCAGTTAAATAATTAATTCAGGTATATCGGATTAAGCAAACTCTTCGGGAACAGGGTGAATCAAGTAACCCATTGCACACCTAGAGTCCCTGCTCCAGTACTGGAATTGATTACTGACTGTTTCAGGTGGTAGTTAGGATTTATTTATTATTATTGCACAGGTTCGGCACCTGTCAATTTTTGGCGCCGTTGCCGGGGACTGGTGCCAGATTAATTTGTTTCTTTTTGAGTTCATTTTTTTTATTATTTATTTTTCTCTTATTTTTTTTTATATAGTTTATGGCTTCTAACACTCCGTATTTTGGTGAAATTTTGTTTCCGGGGAAGGCGATGAGACTAGTTTTTTTTCTAAGTTTGCACGTGCAGAGGCAGTAAACTCTATTAGAAAAAGAATGGCTGCTGCAACCTGTAAAATTTGTTATGCCAGGGATCATTCAACCAGTATGTGCCCCGAATATCAAGATAATCTGAGTGTCCCACTCAATAATTATGGAGATTTTTCACCCTGGTCTCAAACGTGGTATAACCCTAATCCATACGGGTATGATCAAGGAGGGTGGGATAACTCCAATTATAATTATACAACGGGGCCAATGAATTTTCAGCAGTATGAGTCTCAAGAATCGTCATCTATGTCAGGTATGTCTCTTGAAGAGATAGTTGAACCAATAACTACTAATACATACCAATTCCAACAGGAGACACAAATGAGGAATGAGATGATGAAGGATGCAATGAATTATCTGGCAGATCAACTATGTCTTTTGACATCCAGAATAAATCGATTGGTTTCTCAAAGTGAAGAATTGCCCTCACAAACTATTATCGACCATGAGGAAGATGAGAGTGCAATTATCCTGACGAATGACATGGTGCTGCGAGAATCTCAAGAAGAAGGATCTAAAAATGCAGTTGAAAAGGAAGTTGAAGTGCAAGACATGAGACCCCAACATCAAATGGTTCAAGTGAATGAATCCAGTGAACAATCTCCAAATGCGGTGACATCTCCTCCATTTCTTGATCAATATTTTCCTGACTCATATTCTTTAATTCCTGTTAGTGAGATTGATTTTATCATACCAGACGATTTTGAGTTTCATGACAGGAATAAGTTAAGAGTTACGATGGTCAAATATCTTGAACCGATAAAGGCGTGTGATGGAGGAGAGAGTGGAGAATGCAAATTATCGTTGACTTGTTTGGCGCCATTTACTAGTCCATGGAAGCCCGTAGCTCGTGTGCTCAAGAATTACTCTATTTACGAGGGCTATCAGGATTATATAGAGGATGAAGCACTGAAACGAGCCACAAGATTTTATCCTCCGTGAATAAATATGGCAATGTCTAGCCAAAGACATTAAAGAAAGGCGCTGCTTGGGAGGCAACCCAAGACTCTTTATTTTAGTTTTCTTATGCTTTTTGGAATTTTTGTTAAGTGTTAGTTGCATTTAGTGATTTGTTGCTTTTGTGGCAGGAAGCTAATAGTTAGACGTGCCCTCGTCAGGTGGTCACGCTTGAGGGGAAGAAATTTTCGTTCAGGTTCTGCGAACTCTATAGCAGTTAGACGTGCCCACGCCAGGTGGTCACGCCTGAGGGAAAGAAATTTTCGTTCAGGATCTGCGGACTCTATAGCAGTTAGACGTGCCCACGCCTAAGCTAGAGGTTCTTTGAAAAAAAAAAAAAATTTTATAAAAGTA